AGGGGGTCAATCGTACGTTCGAGACCCTTATTGAGAGGTGACTACAGTGAAGTTACCTTTAATCAATTTCTTCGATAGTCGTAAGCAACGTACATGGCTTGGTCTTGTTTTTTACGGGTCTATTGTCAGCCAAATCTTAATGCTGTTACCTGATTCTCTAAAGTTAAGCTAGCCCGGGGATATAAAAGGAGTATTGCAAAAATGTACAATAAAGAAATACAAATAGAAAGTACCGGATCTAAAATGAGTCAGCATTTAGGATCTTGTAGGCCTAATTTCTGACTCGCGATGGGACAGTGTAAAATATTAAATCCTAAACAACGTGGAAGTCCGCATAGAACGTACTATATTGTAGTATCGCAAGTTTTCCACTGCATGTACACGCAGCTTTACGAAAGTTACCGAGGACCTTATTTGGTTGGGGAGGCATTGGAAAACGCGTGCAGACTGTGCATGTTGGGAAGAAGAATATAAAAGGGCATGGACGGTGCAAGTTAGATTTGCAATAAGAGAGTTGTCGATTAGGGAGTTGTAATAGAAGAGTTGTTAGTTGCCAGAGTTGATATTTTTGCAATTTGTGAGTTGTAGGAGGAGAGTTGCTGCAGAGGTGTAGGTGGAGCGTTGTGATAAGTTGTAATAATTCGTATCTATACCGATACTCGCATACTCTATCACTGTTAATGTATTCTCAAATAAATAAATAGATATATATCAACCACCAAATCCGCCTTCACAATATGAAACATCAAGATAGTGTAGCTCATTGTTCCTTCAGTGAAGACACAGATTCATGTTTACCTTCTCAAACGTATTTGTTTGTTAAGACAAACGACGAGCATGCGAACGTTTGTGATCTTCTGTAACTCTATAGCCAGACACTCGAATTTCGCTGACGTGTACCAGAAAAGAAGCGCTCCAAACAAGCTTATGCACATATGCGCGGCACACTGGTAACTTAGGATAAGCTGATGCATGTACAATATTACTCTCACTGGCGTGTAATCAACGCGAAACGAATATTCCGCTTCTGATGGGAAAGAGTTGGGCAGGAACATAGGTCCTGCCGAGAAAGTAGTTGCGGTCAGGTACATACACACCATCGAACTACCGTAGAAGGTGTAATACTTCTTAATATACTTGTAGAAGATCGCCCTTTCGTACTGCTTAGCCTCTTTAACATTGATCATCATTTCCTCGACTATATACTGTAACCTTTAATTAATGATCATACCTTCTTATGTCGAATGCAGAGATAGAACGAAGGAGAACTTACTTGTATGGAATCGTAGTTGATTAAGCATATAATGGTCTGAATAATGAATTGGATCAAAACTGATCCCAGGCAAAAACATTTAAAAGCGATGATGACGTTGTTTGTGTGCACATATGCCGAGTACAACAGAGGCAGAAGTAACAAGCTAGCACTGATGATACTAACGATCTGTAGAAGTTTGTATCCCAAGGTTTTGATTTTGCTGCTGTTGGCAGGAAGTGGCCAACAGAAAGTCAGGGCTACGCTCAGCCAAATAATGTTAATGACTCTTTCTAGCGTTAGTTGCTTCGACATAATCTTTGTAAATTGTTTGGCTGGTGAATCGAACGAAGTATCTGATAGGTGTAATAGAAGGATAGGCGCTGATTGTTGGGTGTCACAGTAATATTACATTGCTTCGAATACAGCTGAATGTACGTAGACGTCGCTTATATAAGAGTATCTTGTTCGTAACGAGTATTTAATAAATGATACACAGTACATCACCAAACGACGTATCGGTTAACGATTTCTATGGAAGTGTTTCCTGTGCTATTAACTGACTCGTGCTATGATAATTATTTGGCTGCATTATACATCGGTGTATAGACAGGTGTAGAGGGAAGTTACCACGCAGTAGGGCTACTACTTATTATGGTAACATAGCAACGTTTGTTCTGAAAGAAAGCATTGTATGTGTTTATTGCGATGTACAGTCAGTCAGTTATTAAAGTGCTTCCTTGGGGTACGTTTGAAAGGCAGATCGTGATTCTCTCTACGTGTTGTCCTGTCATTGGCGATATAAAATGAAAGTGAACGATTTTACGTGATGAAATTAGGCGAGGACTTCGAAAAAATATTTATCTATGTGGCTTCGTTTAAAGAAAAATTATTTAAAATATTATACCTAACTCTGTTCTCGATGCCGCGAGTTTCACCATAAATCGTTCATTATTATTTGTATGAATATTTCTAGTTCCATCAATTATTTCTTGTTAGTTTTGCTAGTTATTATAAATACTTAATATTTCTCAGCCTAATCGATATTGCTGCATACAATAGGCGCAATGCGTCAAATTTATGAATCCTATTCTTATTAAAATGGAATGTCGTGTGGACAAATTTTATTCCGCTTCTCGTTATCATTCATTATTTTTTGTTAAATAAAATTCTTATCCTTGGTATCACTACGTACAGGATAACCTGTATTTTCTTAGAACTGCTATTCTTGTATAGTTGTTGAGGTTGACGGTTGAATCGGTATCTGGGAAATCGTAAGTGGCTAGTTTAAATATAACTATATGTATTGTGTGCTTGGAAGTGAAAAGGTGTCGCCTGGAAAGAATGTGTGTTTACTTCGTCATAACGTAAATAGTGCATACTTCATTGTAGAATTATAAATATTATAAACGAAAGGGAATTATATATCATTGCCTGACGGAAAGTACAATTGATATATATCAAGACTGAGTGGAACAGAGGAATACGGAGCAACACAAAGCATTAACATAAACATTAACCCTTTCACTTTCAGTCGCCATTTAATCAGATTCGAAATATCGATGTTAATTAATATATCAAATTTAAAATTACTCAACAATGCGTGGAACGTTGAAATAAAATAATTCAACATCGTAATTTGCATTCGACTTCTTATTTACCGTTCTAAAAATATCCTCGACTTTACGACGAAAGAAAGTTCTCGAATTACTGTTTTTCTGTAACGAAAAAATCGCCGAGTGCAAAGGGTTAAGACAGTAGAAAATGTGATCGTGAAATAAAAAATATACCGATGCAATTTATTCTACTAGTTGAACGAATATCGTCAAGGATCTAGAAATGAAAATTTTGCAAGTGTCATAGATAGAGTCTTCCTTGCTGCACAATATAGATACAGCTTGAGATTTCGTTTTTTTTTATTTGAAAAGAATTCACGAAGACGTGGGCATTGATATTTGAATAATTTTTTACTTGACGATTCGAAGTAAATAGTTACTATTAACTATAATAAAATCATATTTTTTTATAAAAGGATCTGTTCTCGTTATTGCAGAATTCGAAATTATACTTAAATGAGCATATTGAAAATTGTCAGGCCTCAACTTGCTAACATGTTGATCGTAATTGAAAGAATAAAGTGTTTAATAACGAATGAACTGTTCATGTTGCTATTTAGTATGCTTCGTCTGCTTTCCATGATCCTGTAATTCAGGAAACAATTAAACCCCTATGTATATATTCTATATATGTATATAAATCCTATATGCATAGGTAGATGTTTAAATCTGTTCCCAAAGTGCGTGTTTTCACTACTTTAATTGCGTTTGTCAACTATTTACCCGCATTGGAATAAATAAACAATTATAATTGAATAAATGTAGGACGTTTGCACGAGTTAAACATTGTTTCGATAAATCCACAAGTAATTAAAGGATCCGAAATGAAAAATGTTTATGAAAGTTAAAAAATGGACAACAGTATCTATTGTTATGATCAATTATCATCTTGATCTTTATTTCTAAATAAAATTGCAAATGCAACTTAACGAACTACAAAAATAAAGGATAATAATTAATGACGAATTGAAAATTTGTAGGAAAACTTGTATGTGAAACCAACAAATTGTCAACCTTTGCGAAGACATGATCGATAATGAAGAGGATACGATTAATTATTAAGCAAGTATATAATATTATTGAGTTTTTTTCAATCTGTTTGAAATTAATCTTCAAGAAATCAATTTTTACATATGCAGATATGCATTCGTGTGGCTAAAGTTGTGTGTTTTTCTTATAATCTATAATGATTGTACCTATTAACGCATTCTGACAAGCAAATGAAACGAAACTTAAAAGAAAATTACAGGGGATTAGTGTCCTACTATTTTCTTTTCAAAATCTATTCTATTTTTAAGGACGGTCTATTTTTATTGGCTGAGAAAATGACAGATTTTTTATCGTGATATGCAATGCAGTAATTGCAATAACATAACGATGCATATAGCGTACTATGACGTACATTTGTTGACACTAAAATTACCAAAGGTTCAAAATGACTTGTTTTAGATATTTCATTTTTATAGCGTCTAAAATCATATTGCTGCTTTTGATCAAATTAATTTTTATTTTTACTCCCATAGAAATGTATATAATTATAGAAATAAATATATATATATCATAATATACAGGGTCTCCCAGCAATGGTATTACAATCGGGAAGGGGGTCATTCTATTGCAGAAACGAATCGAAAGAAAAGAAATAAAATTTTTCGATTCGAAACTTCCTTTTTGGGAAAATTGACTTTGAATATTCATCGAGTGCGTGCGCATTTAGCTTTGACTTATATGGACAGACCATCCATACATTAATATTGGTGGCAATATCGAGGGGGGTATAATTCTACATAGAAAAACATTCATCTTGAATATTCAAAGCCAATTTTCTCGGAACCAAGCTTCGAATAACATCCTGTATATAAATAAGTTTAACAAAATATATACACGAATAAATATATAATAATAATATGCATGTGTATGTAATACTGTATAGTAGATATACTACTAGTATAGTACTAGTATATATAAACTACTAATATATATTTTACATATTACAAAACAAGGAAAAGTAATTAATAATAGTAAAGTTAAATTTCGAGGTGCAGCAAATGTAGTACATGTGCATATTAAACTAGTGAGAATATCGTTGATCCAAATCTTTGAGATTTTAGGATCTATTTCAGACAATGCAAAATATTTTCTTCGATATCTTTATATTTATTCTACCTCTGCTCTAAATAGCTAGTAACTTTTGTATCCTGCAATGAAATACATCTGTAAATTTTACTACATTAACTAGACTATTAATATTATATAACAGTACACGGAGAGTTTCACACTAACACTGAACACTATCATTACATAGAGAATTTTTAGTCGAAATAATGGACCTCATTTTTAACAAACCTTGAAATATTTTCAAATTCAACTATTGTTTTTATACCTGAAGTACGAAATGATGCTTTATAAAAGTTATTTTACTCCATATATAGTATTTACGATTACAACCATAGTTATTGCAGTGTTTACTGTAATTATAGACAAAATAGGAAACCTGCCAGATCAACAGATTTCAACGTACTATCAGTATAGGAATAATACTGAAGAAACAAGAAATAATATGACTTCTTTTTTACAAGCTTGATGCTTGATGCAGTATAGTATATGCATATTGT